CACCAATCGAACTGCTAGATTTGCCTTCATAAGCCGAAATATACTAACCAACTCATGGTCGAGCGTTCTTTCTCACCGAGTCTATTCTTAGGTTCTTCAACCGCATGGATTGGGATACATATCCCACTCCTTCGATGAACTTGGTCAACTGATGGATAGTTGTTAGCGCCTCCGCTGGTGGTGTAAAGCATAAATAGCTAAATTCTCTCACCATCCTCACCATGAGCTTCATTTGCCCGGAATGGAGTCAACACGCCTTCAACAACGTCACTTCATTGACTTTCATAGTTGTCAAGCACATCTGTATTGCGTGGACACTATGGCTTATGGTGTGGCAATAAACATGTAGGGTAGGGAGTCTAACAGCCAAGTGTGAGTAGTCCGTGTCGGTCTTCGATGGCAATGTGGCACAAAGTGCGGATGGTCACCCCCAATCACTCTTTCTTGTAACCGATTCTACATTTCTTAATGGTAGAACACAAAAGATCTTGCGTGCTACAAGAGGAAAAATATGAACATACCATCAATGCAACTTCAAACACCACAGCCCGCACATTCTGAGAAAGGGTGAACAAACCATCAATGCAACTACAAAACGATGCGTGAAGCTCTTGTGTATTCCGGAAGATGAAAGAAGAGGAACCTGCCACCAATATATCACCATTCTTGCTATATCTTTCGTCATATCGTATATTGGTGCAAATTTAACTTTTCGCGCCATTGAGCTGAAGAACAAAGGAGGATACTACAATACAAGCATCTCTTAGGGTGCAAAAACAGAAAAATTCAACATGGACCATCCGATCCCGGACGAACGCACCAAATTCGAGCGGGAGAGCAGTCGAACAACTTTGATCGTTTTGTCGAAAACCGCCTGGCTAACACCTATATCGAAAGCAGGCCCTTTCGATGGCTCCCACATGACAAATCCAGGCCATCCATCCCAGATCCAACGGCCTACGTTCTATTTTTTTTCTTCCTATTTTTGCAGCCAAGGCGGTGAGGGAAGGACTGAACCAAGAAACCCAGAAGCTCGGGGTGTAAACCATAAACGGCAGCCACACTAACGACTTCCTCCCTCCGCCCCCTCTCTCTCCAACCCCTCCCCCCACTTTCCCACTCTGGAGTCGTCGTCTCTGCTCCGGTCTCCGGAGAAAAGCAAAGCCAGCGCCGAGCAGCAAGCCCCACACGCCAATTCGGAATCCTTCTCCTCCCCTCCGCCCCCGCGATCCCGCCCCTCGCCGCCTGCCTGATCGGCCTGCTTCCTGCCGGGGTAAGAAGTCCCGCCTCGCTCACGCCCAATTCGGTCCCCAATCGCGCGGCTGTTAGTTTTTCGGGTGATCGATTGCTGGTTTTTCGCGCGATTTGGAGGCGGATGGGTCGTTTGCGCCTCACCGTGTGCTGGGTTGTTGCGCCTGGTTGACGGATTTTGGAGGGATGGGCGATCGAGCTGGGAAGGGTCTGGAGGAATTTTTCTTGTTTTTCTAGGTTGAAGGGCTTAAAGTTCGTGTGTAGACATGTAGTATAGATGTAATTTTGGTATTTACAGAAAATGGGCAAAAAAATATTATATCTGTCATTTACAGAAAATGTTCTTGGTTGTAAGATAAGCGATTTTGGTACTTTCAAACGAGAATTACATGCTGTGTATGCTTGATAACTCATTTCTAATGTTCAGCTTGCTATAATTGCAGGTCTCGTGGGTGTACGGAAGAGAGCATTTCTTAGTTGAGGATGTACAGTTAATCTGCAGCAGCTCGAGTTGTAGCATTTGGATCTTCTGACATGGCTGAAGGGGCAAGGTTTCATGGCATGGTTGGCGGTGGCGGCAAGGGGATGCAAGAGAACGAGTTCAATGGCTTCTTCAGCATGCCCTACTATCAGAAAATTGGGGAGGGCTCCCACATGTCTGTCGACAGCACTGACAACTACAACCTCGCCGGTGGCTCCGTTACCATGTCTGTGGACAACAGCAGTGTGGGCTCGAACGAGTCCCGCACCGTCATACTTAAGCACCCGGGCCTCCGTGATGCCCCAACTGCAAGCTATTCGGTTGGCAACAGTGTCTTTCGTCCCAACCGTGTGGCTGCGCACACCCTAAATGAAGATGCATTGGCCAGGGTTCTGATGGACCCAAATCATCCAACAGAGATACTTAGCAAGTACCAGCAGTGGGCCATTGATCTGGGGAGGTTGGATATGGGGGTTCCCTTTGCACAGGGAGCCTTTGGGAAGCTGTACCGGGGTACCTACATTGGAGAAGATGTTGCCATTAAGCTGCTGGAGAAGCCTGAAAATGATATCGAGAGAGCACAATCGTTGGAACAGCAGTTTGTCCAAGAAGTTATGATGTTATCTACCCTAAGGCACCCAAATATAGTAAGATTTATAGGGGCTTGCAGGAAGTCAATTGTGTGGTGCATTATTACTGAGTATGCAAAAGGTGGCTCAGTCAGGCAGTTCCTGGCAAAAAGGCAGAACAAGTCGGTACCTTTGAGGCTGGCTGTCAAACAAGCATTGGATGTTGCGAGGGGAATGGCATATGTGCATGCTTTGGGATTTATCCACAGGGACCTGAAGTCGGATAATCTTCTAATTGCAGCAGACAGATCCATTAAGATTGCTGACTTTGGAGTTGCTCGAATTGAAGTGAAAACAGAGGGGATGACACCAGAGACAGGAACCTACCGCTGGATGGCACCGTAAGTTCAATTGATGTTTGGTTTCATATGTACCCCCTCCGTTCCAAAATAGATGACCTGACTTTAGTACAAAGTTAGTATAAAATTGAGTCATCTATTTTGGAACGGATGGAGTATATAGTTATCTTCAACATTTGAAATCTATGGTGTTTGTCATTTAATTTATTTGCACATGCCAAATCCTGTATCCGCTTATACAGTTGTCAAACCTTCACCGTAGAACATTCAACTGCTTGCCAATAATCTATTACTGTAGTGTGATATTTACAAACTGTCCATAGAGATTTTTTCCCCACAATGTACCTGGATGCTCCAATTGTATGCACCGGGCTCTCATATAACTCAAACTGTACACGTTGTTGCCTTGTGTTAAACAGAAGTATCATCTACCTAGTGCCATCTTAATTTTGCATCTGATTAACAGCCTTCTGCTGCACCCCTGAAACGATTGAAGGTTGGACTAACCTTATAACTATTAACAAAGCAAGTCTATTATACAACAGTTCCAACTTTTTGTCCATACAAAGCATGGTCCATCGTAATCAAAATTGAAATATTGCAGAGTTGGCAACTGTTTTCTCAACAGTAGGGTAGTAGGGTACAGTGGCGGGCTATTATACCAGTAACATAACTAGCATACAATTTTCCCTTTTCTGTTTTATATATTAAATTCTCTTTGCATACATGGAGAAATGGTAGAGAATTGTTTCACTTCGACTGTCTCATAGTAACAAGCTGCTTCTGTTTGCTCCTCTCTCGCCAAAATTCCAGCATTATGCTGTGTATATAATTGATGATGTAGTGGTTGGTCTTTTTTGTGTGCAGGGAAATGATCCAGCACAGGCCTTATGATCATAAGGTTGATGTCTACAGCTTTGGGATTGTCTTGTGGGAGCTTATAACTGGCATGCTTCCTTTCACAAACATGACAGCTGTTCAGGCGGCTTTTGCTGTTGTAAATAAGGGTGCTCGTCCAGCAATCCCACATGACTGCCTGCCTTCCCTAACCCACATCATGACGCGCTGTTGGGATGCAAACGCTGAAGTTCGCCCACCATTCACCGAGATCGTCTGCATGCTTGAGAACGCCGAGATGGAGGTTGTGAGCCATGTCCGTAAAGCACGCTTCCGCTGCTGCGTTGCTGAACCCATGACCACCGACTGAAACTAAAGCAGGTTAGACTATCGCAGCGGGCATTAGGGAAGAAAACAGGTAAGGATGAAGAAAAGAGGCAATGCCAATGTGTTCATCGTTGTCAGTGGGTGGGGTCTGTGTGCCTTTACCAGTGCGCATTCTGTCTTGTGTAAGTTGCACACCTCAAGTAAAAGTAATTTCGTATAGATGTTGCCTTGTATGCTAACAAAGACCAAATGGAGCTTTTCCGTGTTAATAATATCCGCTTGCTCTTGTACTCGTGCAAGTTTGTGCTTCGCATTTGCGTGCTGTTGTTCTTCATCATGTTGATTTCTGTGGTGTCGGTTGCCTGGACACTATGTTGTGGTTCATAATATTTTTGCCTTTTTCTTACACCAATTCTTGCTTGGTTGGTAACCTGTCAATTGGATCAATCATTGTCACTTGATCCAAAGGTTATGATAATCATGGTGACACTTCAACATATGAGCAATCCAGCTGGTGGTTTCATTTTGAAAATCACAACTTGTTGAGCTGTATATTTTAGTGTCTGTTCTGCATCTATATTGAAGACAACCGTGATGGTGACCCGGTTCTACATCTTGTGTGTCCTAACGCGAGCTGTTTGGATAGTTTGCTTTGAGGAGACAGGATCGCTTTCATTACCTGGAATTATATGATTATAGTCTGTTCTTTGATGTATGTGTGTGCACGTTCTACAGAACAAAATTATAATTTAAATTGTGGGCAAGTCAAATTAGACTGTTCTCTTCGGCCTGCGCAATGAAACAAATTAGTGTTATCTGCATAACAAATATGAAATCATATCGTCTATGATACCCCTCTTCCGGCGTAGCAAATGGTAAAAAAGATCGCCGCAAATCAGTAATGGAGATTACTGGTGCAAATGGCTTGTCAGGGAGAAGAAAATATACAAGTCGTCACTTTATGAAACAAATCATGTCCAGATTCATCAACAATGGTTTCAAAACGAGCCAACAAATGGCAGCAGGGTTGTACAATGGAAAAATAACAAGGTGACCAATGAGTATGTAGGTAACATTAACAGTGAGATTTTCCACTCTGATAGTAGTTGACAGGAGCAGTTCTTGCATAAGCTCTTCCTGGCTGTAGATCCAAAATCATACAGTGCGTCTCGCGCATCAATTCATCCGGTTTACGCCAAAGAAAGTGGATTCATAGCCACTGCTGGCGCCATCCATGGTGAAACGGACGAACTGAGGCGATGGTGCCATGGGCTGTCCTTCGGCACAGGACGCCGATGGAGGGCTCCCTCCATGTGGTGAAGGGCCCCGGCTGTTTTGGCTGGCACCAGTGAATTGGACGAGACAAGATGCTTGCTGTACAGGATCAGGTAATCCACAAGAACTAGCTGACAGAAGAGAGAGAGCACGCTGAAGATCCGGTGCTCCACCTAATTTTGAAGCGGTTACAGATGCGTCCGGACCTACAGGAATTCATCAATCGGTCAATCAAAAGGATTCCCTCACCAAAGTATGGACACTCAAGAACATCCAAATGTTGGGAGCAGAGATATCTACAAAGGTGAACGAACATCATGTGGCTCATATGCATTCGAGATATATTTCGATCGAAAACAATTGAGCAGAATTGCTGACAAGCAAACTGCAGTATATTTGGTTATATATAACTAGTCCTCCATGTTGAATTATGAGTATATTGCCCACCTTTCCTCGTCAGCTTAAGCTTTTGGTTTTAACTGTTTTGAGGCATGAGACTCAACAGTCTATTATTCACTATCAAGGACTTTAGTGAATGGACATACCAAAGTGAATTTGAGAGTTCCTATGCTTACTTATGCATATTACCAAAAGTATTTGCCATGACACCATTTTTTCACATGGGTCGTGACAAACATTTGAATATACAAGATCAGCTATTTGATATCATTCTTTATGCAATACAGAGCTGTCTAACCACAAGATCACTATTGATTGTAGTTTTAAATGTGTGATATTCATTGTTATAAAAAAATTGGTATCATTATAATTGTTATTTCAGCTATACCTGAAGCCCAATTAATCCAGTGCAATGTAGGTGCAAGTTGTTCCAACGGAAATTCATAGTAGTGATTAACTGATTAATCATGTTGTATGTAGGACATTTAACTACATATATCCAAGCATACTAACGTTTATATGTAGGTGCAGGAAAACTAGTAATATATGTCAATACTGAAAAACAACTTAAGTCAAATCACCTCAGGCTGAAAAACTACACAAAACATAAATTTTGCCACACAATCTAGCATAAAACCTCTTTTTTCTCTAACAGTCCAGTTCATTTAATCTACAATGATTCTTTTTCCTGATTCTTAAATGTAAAGCCATCAAGGCTTTGGAACCAAAGAGCAATCAGTTAATCTACAATGAGTATTTTTTCTGATTCTTAAATGTAAAGCCATCAAGGCTTTGGAACCAAAGAGCAAAGACTAACTACTCCCTCTGTTCACAAATGCAAGACATTTTGGCAGTTTAAACAGCCAAAACGTTTTACATTTGTGAACAGAGGAGTATATATATCAATGATGACATTTTTTAATGGGGAAACATTCCCACTTGTTGGGAACTATAAATGCTCGTGAACAGCAGGAGTTCAAAGAAAAAAAAATGAATGTTGGCAGGAGAGTGCCAAATCCATTGATTAGAAAGGGGCCTTACAAGAACAGCCAGAAAGAGGAATGCACCGCATAAAAGCGAGTGCCAAAAAAGAATAAGTGAAAAAGCGGGCTGATTGGCTCATCAAGGAAAACCGGGTGAAAACCTAAACAGCGCCTAGCTAGTTCAAAGTAAGCTTTGTAGTGTAAGATTCACATATGTTAGAGAATGAGTGAAGGCCAAGAAAGCATCCTCCTCGGTCTGACTGGGTGGAGTGGAACCACATTTTTATAGTGCTGACTTTTCCGAACAGAGAACCGGAGTTTGCTCTCTCCGATTCAAGGATTTTCATAGGAAATTTTATACGTTTGTCATGTTCAAGAATTTTTCCTATGCTGGTTGTTCAATATGTAGGATGGTAACCCGTAGGAATTTTTCCTACAGGTCTTCTGTACTCCATTCTAAAATAATCAATTGACTCAAACCAGTTGGGATGATTCCTATATTATTATTTTCTATGTACAATCAAACATCTTTCAATCCTGTGGGATTCAAGATGGCATGGTATTACAATCCAACTTTTCCCTGTTCTGATGTTTTTGGAATCCCACGAATCAAAGAGGCCTACATTACATGTAACATTTTTTGCCCGTAATAAATGTGCCAGACCACCTAGGAAAGAAGATACTAGCACGCAGCTTTTTCATCGATGTGAACTGCGATAGATACAAAATGACTGACAAATCATACCTTTCATTGGTAGCAGCTCAGCTATGTCATGACTCAGTGCTGGAACAGCATTGGGTAGATGAGATTTATCAAAATGAACTTGTCCATTGATTGATACTTCTCTTATTTCCTTCACTTGCGGGAGCTTGAAGTCAGATGGGCTGTCCCATGGAGAACATGGGAAAGGCCTTGCATGGCTGAGTGGATCTTTATTCCAGACAAAACTTATTTGCCGTCTATCATCTGTAACATCAATGGCAAAAGCATTTATTATTTGTAAAAGGTATAAGAAAGTAAAAAAAAAATCAAACGACTAGCTATCATCTCATATATCAACTATTGAAGATAATTTCTGACTAATCATGGCATTAGCGAAAGCCGAAACTCATACCTAGCTCAAACACAATTTATCGAAGAAGTTCAACTCACAACCAGCCAATTAAGCATAAAGAACAGTAGTTTCAGTGCGATATGGTGTGGAGAGCAAGGAAAAATACAAATCCCGCATAATTACCCACTTAAAGTATGGACATATTACCAAACACCAATGACGACGGGAGCCTTGCCGGTGTAAAGGAGAATGCGTCTGGCTGTGGTTTCCGGCGCCGAGCATTGTGATCGGACAGCCGCCTCCGGCAGCTCCTCTTCTTCTGGTCGAACTCGGACAGCGCATGGAACCTTGATCACCAAAGGCCAGGCAATCAGCAAAACCACAGACAGTACTGCAAATATAGACTACTTATATATGTACCAACTAAGATCTAAGAGTATGCATACACAGAGGAGAAATCTCCACACAGTAACTGAATCACAGTAGCCACAGCACAACAGAACTTCAGCCCAACAGTGCACACACGCGCGGGACAAGTGCCCTGCCAAAACTGGAAACAGGTCTTGCACAGCCGTTCAGCCATGCCATGCAGCACGATTCTCCACAGGTCGACAGTACTATAATTGTGGGGAAAAGGCATCTTCGCCTCCCAAATCGGGAAACAAGCCGTACCCGCACAGGATAACCACAGTTTCCGGACACACACAAAAACACAAGGCTCCCGGATTAATCAACTGACGACGAACAGAATTATAGCGCGGCGCGTTTGCACCATGGTCTAAGGAAGTGCGGAGTTCGCAGATAGACGGGGGGTCGTTGAATCTCCTGCTTCCCGGAATTCCAAGAACGAAAGACACGCGCGGAGTAGAGCAAGAGCAATCGCAGAAAGATCGAGCTTGCAGCTTTGCAGAGAGAGAGAGGGAGAAAGAGAGAGGGCAATCGCAGAAGTCAAAGAAAAGCACGGCTCCGGCGAGCAGCCAGGGTGCAAGAATAAACTCCGGCGAACAACCTCGGAGCGTCAAGAAACACCCACCGGCTGCACTGCTGGCAGAAGCGGCGCTCCTGGCCGGCGACGACGACGCGGGGGAACTTGGTGTGGGCCTCGCAGACCCGGTGCTTCCGGTGGTACTCCTTGGCGTCGCGGAGCTCGACCCCGCAGCCCTCCACCTGGCACCTCACGCCCCCTCCTCCTCCGCCTCCGCCTCCTCCGCCGGCCGCCTCCCCCCTGGCCCGCTTCTCCTTCCCGCGCCTCCCCGCCGCCTCGCCGGAGGAGCCCGGCGCGGCGGCGTCGCCCCAGTCCCAGAGGAGGTGGGGCGGGGAGAGCGGGGTGGACTTCGGGGCCGTCCACTCCATGCGGGGCGGGGGCTTGGTTGGTCAGCTTGGGATTTGGGGATCGAAGAGGAGATGAACAGTGTGGACTGTGCAGGAGAAGAAGAGAAGCAGGGATGGGGGAAGAGAGACTTGGAATAGAAAAGGCAAAGTCTTTTTTAGTGTTCGGTCCCCTCTCTCTCTCATTTTCCCCTTTCTTGTTCTTTCCCACCATTTTTCTATGCTTGGCTTGCCATAAGTGGATTGTGGATGGAAATCGTTTATTTTCATCCGACTTATAACAGCGACGCGTAAGTCGCCTCGTCCTAGCGACGCGTGTCCCGCGTGGCGTGGACCTAGCAACCTTATCCTCTCCGCGTGCCTTTCGTATCCCTCATCTCCTACCGCTGCAGAAGCAAATCCCCATCTCCTCCCGATGCAGGATAAGCAAGCCGCCACCGGCCACCGGCCCGTCGTCGCGGCAACCACCACTGCATGAGCCAACCCAACCCGCTGCTGTAGGCACCACCAGCTGCCGCCACCGCTCCACCTGCTTCTTCTCCTTTTTCTAGGCGTGACCACGGCAGCACTGCGACTCCACGATCTCGCCGTTGACCAGTGACGCCGCAACGCGAATCGCCGGGGAGCTGCAGTGCAGCAAGCGACATGCGACCCATGGAGCCGAAGCCGTCGGTGCTGCCTTGGACTACGCCGGGCTGCAATGGAGCTCGACGGGAGTTGCAATGGAGCTTCGCCGGACACGTCGACACTCGATGGAGCTCCGGTAGGGCTGCAATGGAGCTTGACCGGAGTTGCAATGGAGCTTCGCCAGAGCCGTCTGCGCTGCATTGGAGCTCCGCCGAGGCTGCATTGCAGCTTGGCCGGAGTTGCAATGAAGCTTTGCCGGAGCGTTGGTGCTGCATCGGAGCTGCGCTGGGATTGCAATGGAGCTCGCCGGACGCCATCCGTGGTGTTGCGTTGGAGAGCTCTGCTGGGACTGCACTGACGCTGCGTTGACTCGTTGCTGCCGTGGCGTCGTTGTAATTCAACGGCCACCAATGCGCCGATCGAACGGCTGAATATGATTTGTAGCAGCCCCGTTTGTGGATAGCTGGACACAGCTTGTGCATTTTCACAACTTATTTTGGATGCTCTATCTATTAGCATTAACTTTTAGAAGAACAAAAACTAATTTACATCACACTGATTTTAGCCAAAAGGAAAAAGAATTATCTGGATAAAGTAAACAAAACCCGAAAATGATCTCCAAGTTGCTTCAATTTTTGATAAACTTAAATATTTTTCAAAACATTTGAATAAACATCCTCATTCTCATATACCTCACCCATGTACTCCCTTTGTTTCTAAATATAAGTCTTTTTAGAGATTTTAATATTTTTCTCGAATACGCACGAGTGTGTGTATCATTCTTTATAGAAGGAGGGAAAGGAAGACTACCAAAATGTCCAGTTTTACATCT